ATCAGTTCATTCATTTGTAGGGTTTTCGGCTGACCTGAGATGTTCTGTACTTATTCTATATAGAATTTATGGACTGATGGGACTAGAAAAAAAGTAGCTTATGGACCTGGATATGCTTTTACTCTCTCAAGTACAAATCAGGAGTAAGAAAAAAAATGGATGAAACCCATTTTTTTTTCAGTTACACCTCAGGCTAAAGATTATCTTGAGGGAGTGGGAGAAAAATACAAACTAGTAAATCATGTAAGCTTCTTAGACATTGAATTGCTTTCCTCAGAGTTAAATAAATTTGGAGGAACATAAAGCAAAGGCAGAGGTGTCAGCAGGATACAATGAAGTTGTGAATTGCCAAGCAGAGATGTAATATGGAAAACCCTTATCTGATGTGAGCAATTCTATTTGAATTACTCACAAACAAAACATTTCAGTCAGATTTCTCACAGATACTGTTGAGGAGAACTTCATTGCCTCTTCTGCAGCTATTTGAGCTTGCTTCCCTGGAATAATAATACGTCTGTGAATGTATCCATCTCTGCACACATCCTCTTTTCCCTCATAGATGTTTACTTTCACCTGTGAACATTTTTTATGTTGTCTTTAATGAGCTGTAGCTCATTGCAGTCTATTGTGTATTATATCTAAAGTACCAGTGCAGCTATGCGATGCTCCATAAGATGCAAGAACATCTCTTATATATGCAGAAATGAATAATTTCCAGGGAAAGAAGTTAAAATTATAATTCAATCAAGGCAGTTCTGTTCTTTGCCTTCAGACAGAAAGTGCACTATCTTAAGGACATCTGAAACTCATCTGTAATTACCAAGTTTTCATTCCTTTATACAAATGTTATAACTAAGTAATGCAAACTGTAACAAAATAAAAGAGGTTAAATTGTCTCCTTTTTCACTGAAAACAGATTCTAATTAGTTCCTGACAGAAAGTTGTCCTGACACAATGTGTTACGGGCAAGTCTCACTGTTGAGGCTGTTGTCGATGGGCTAAGCTACAAAGGCTGGAGGTAGGTAGGTGCACTCCCCACAAATTCCTATTCAGAGCTTTTCAAGTGTCCATTCTAGAAACAAACAAAAGCATCATTTGCCTACTGCAATATGTGATGTGATTTTTTTTCCTGTACAAAGCTTGTATTTCTTCCCTCATCAGGACAGAACTTTAGAGACCAGATCATATACTGCAGAAAAAAATTTGAAGGTTCAGCACTAGAAAATGAAGAAACAGGAACACATTTTCATATTTCCCAATGTTATGTTTCAGAATTCCTGCTTTCCTGGTTTTTTAAGTCTGTAAAGGATAAACTAGCTTATTGAGTATATATCCACTGAGAATGCCTAGTTAATCTTAATTTCCAAGATTAAGACCCTAAATACAAGACTCTGATATACGAGACTGTCAAATACACCAGAAAGCTGCTGCAGCACCCAAAGAGAGTGCAGAGGCTGCCACTGAGCAAGCAGGAAAGCTGGTGCTTTTTCTTCATGGATGGTGGCTCCACAGATCACAGTCCAATCTTCTCCACTCATTTCTGAATAGCAAATAAACCTTCCTGATTGCAGAAGTTAAAACATTGTTACAAATTATTTGTTTTGCTTTGATAGTAATAGAACTTCATGTTAGTCCTTCTTTTGAAATATGGATAAAGTGGTTTATACGAACACATACTCAGCAAATGCATCAATAAGTTCCAATTAATGAATTATCCATTCAGTTCTACAATAATTCACTTTATCTCTTACCATTCCCAGTGAATTATTTATATAGTGACATTTCTCTATTAGCAAGCTGCCATTTGCATCACTTTTATATTATTGTTCTCATTACTAATTATACTTTTAATAATTTTTTAATGCTTGGTCTCATCAATAAAGAAAAGTAGATGGTGCCCATGGAGTGTTTAGCCTTGTCTTAATTCTGTATGCCTAACACCATTGCCAGTAGCACAAGAGTAGATACATAATACTTTAAGTGGCAGTTCTTCCCTTTCGTACGTTCCCTTGTCTCTTTTTCTCTCCTGTATGCCAGCATCCCTGAGTTTGTTCTGTAAAAGCAAAGGGTGTTTCTGTATTAATGATTATTTGAATAACAAAATTAGGTTGCTATTATACTTGCTTCCTTCTATCCCAGATAATGACTATGAATTAATTAGCATCAGAATACTGAAAATTCCTATTAATTTTAACATTTTATTTGGAAGCCTGTGTGCATTATTGAATTATTTTACACCTCCTAATGTAAAACTGATGATATCTCTACAAACCTCTGGGGGAACGTGTGAGGTCATTAAAGTTAGATTTGCAAAGAAAATGCATTAATTTCTCTCTCACATTATTCTTTCCTGTGCTGATAATGCTATTTTTGAGCTCTTGCTCAGAGTGGCTCATTTGTATTGAAAGATTCTCTTATCCTTTATTCTCTTCATCTACCTTTCCAAACTTTTCATTTCATAAGGAAATGAACTGTGGTTTTTCAATACTTAAAATATACTTGCAGGAAAGTGAGAACTTACATTTTCGGGTGTTAGTGTTGTCTCCAGAGACAGTGGTCACTGAAAGACAGCTCAGCGTGAAAAGAAAATATACATGTCAGAAATGGAGATAAGTTATACAATGTCTCCTTCCTTTCTTTATCACTGATAGTTTATTTTCTCTGTAAAGGAGGATTCCAGAAGTAACACTGATGGTTTGGCATCCAAGCATCTGCATGGGAAGAAAAATTATGAAGCTTTATTAAACATTTTCCCTGGAATTCTAAGTTTGTTCCATATTTCTGCTGGTTATTTATTATTATTTTTATTTTTAAAAAATTTTTCTAAATTCATGGATTTGTGGGAGCTCACAACATAATTAGCAACCTGGCAGTAACTGAGGGAGAAACTCTGGCAAACACAGTCCCTTCTGAAAGCAATGAATCCATCTGTACTACTTACTGAGTAAAATCTCAGTGTATTAAGTCAGATCAATTGCTTAAATAGTTTGGGTTTTTTCCTTCGGATTCAGGACTTATATCCATAACCTACATTTTACTGTTTTAAAATAACCCTTTTGTTTTTTAAGTGAATAGCAACATGTGTTTAGGCTTTAACTTACCACTCTGTAATAACAAGATTTGCATAAAATTTACAGTATTGAAGTAATATATTCTTGAAGGTTAGGTTTTAGAGAAAGCTATTGAATAAGGAAGAAAAATACTATCTGTGCATCCAGAACCAAAGGTCGTTGAAATTATTAAACATCTTTTAATAGCAGACAAAATAAATATTTTCTTCATTTCAGTTTGATTTACTTCAACAACTAGTTAGAAGTTAAGGAACTTCTAAGAAATAAAGTAAACTGAAGCGTCATTATCTTTAAATGGTCTATGAATAAATTCTCAGTGTGGGATGCCAAGACTTATGACTTCATTCATTAACTGTATATAAAAGTTGCATTGGTAGTAAGCCAGTTTTAAGTATAAAATGTGTGATACTTTTTTTCCTCTGTATACAACATATTTATTGCAATTTTATTTAAATAATAAATACACTTAAAAGGCTGGGGTTTTGCATTTCAGTTGCATTCCCATTTCCTTCCAAAGCAGCTTGATAAAAGTCCTAAGTAAATAAAAATTGATCTTCTAGTAAAGAAGAATTATCATTCATTTCTAACAGAATGCTATGTGTTAAGCATTTGAATAATTAGGCTGAACGATATAACTTCTTAAATGGGAATGTAAGGTATTTTACTGGTAGTGTATGGAAGTAACAGATCAGTTTAAAAGCTAGATTCAGTTGCAAGGCAACCTTTTTTTTTAAAGTTTACCTACCAACAACAATCAAACTCACTTGAGGAAAAAAGAATACACATTCAGAATAAGCATAGAAAGTTGGTTTTTTTTAATTTGTTTTACATTTTTTATATTTTAAAGTGAATACAAATTATTTTCACCAAAAAATGTTTGAAAATCTCATGAGAAATAATTATCTTGAATTCTTTTTGTGAAAAATATTTGAGGGGTTTTTCAGAAATATTATAGTTCAGATCCTTATAAATAGGCAATTCTGTGATACATGGGAGACAGAATGGCTATATGAATATTAAGTCGTAACTTCCTACTTTAGGAGCTTCTGTACTCAGTAGAAAATTCCAATATTTCTAAAATAAATTTAATTTCCAACTAGAAAAAAAATAAAGCTTTGACATTTTCTACTTATTAAAGTTCTTCTTGAAAGTGATGGAAATACCAAAATGGGCAATATATTTCCCTCAGCAAGAGTAAGGTAGGTAGTTTAAACTTTGATGTTGCAGGAATTACATTAATTTATTTTTAAAATCTAGATCTACACTTACATTGTTATTGATTTAGTTTATATGCATATGATTCTGTGATTTTAATTAGAAAGACTTGGTTGCTTTATATTAGGTTTCTTTAATGACTTATCAAAATCAGAAAACTAATTTTCTTTCTTTACAACAGTAACTACCGTGGGTCTTGTTAAATCACACAGCTGACAGAGATACTTAGTCCCAACTTGCTCAAAGTTGTGAGTAATGAATTAGTTTCAAACATAATATTGCTAGAGAAACATCTGAGAGTGTAGTTTGCCAGCCACTCTTGTCTGTGTGTATCCAACCATGCCAGTGTGCTCACAAGGTGAATGAAATCTCAGCAGTAGAGGTCCATTTCTCAGAGCTGAGGGAAAAGAGGTTTTATTCATAGAATAATGGAATCATAGAATGGTTTGGGTTGGAAGGGACCTTAAAGACCATTCAGTCTAACCCCCTGCTATGGGCAGGGACACCTCCCACCAGACCAGGTTGCTCAAAGCCCTGTCTAACCTGCTTTGAACACTTCCAGGGAAGGGCCATACACAGCTTCCCTGGGCTATCTGTTCCAGGTTTATCATGTGAATGGTGAAGAGTGCATTTAAAGCAGCAAGGATCTCATCGGTTTCAAATAAGTGCTGTTATACTAAATATGCCTTAACTGCATCTCCTGTTTCCTCCTAGGTCTTACTGCTGCAGCATCTCTTGTATCCCTGGCTTGGGCTTTGGCTTCCTACCAAAAGGCCCTCCGTGACTCACGAGATGACAAGAAACCCATCAGTTACATGGCTGTTATAATCCAGTTTTGCTGGCATTTCTTCACAATTGCAGCACGGGTCATTACTTTTGCTCTGTTTGCCTCAGTTTTCCAGCTGTACTTTGGGATCTTCATTGTGCTGCACTGGTGCATCATGACCTTCTGGATCGTCCATTGTGAGACAGAGTTTTGCATCACTAAATGGGAGGAGATAGTTTTCGACATGGTTGTTGGGATAATCTATATCTTCAGCTGGTTCAATGTCAAGGAAGGAAGGACACGCTGTAGGCTTTTCATTTACTATTTTGTGATCCTTTTAGAAAACACTGCCTTGAGTGCTCTCTGGTATCTCTACAAGGCCCCACCAATCTCTGATGCATTTGCCATACCAGCACTGTGTGTAGTGTTCAGCAGCTTTTTAACAGGCATTGTTTTTATGCTGATGTACTATGCCTTCTTTCACCCCAATGGACCAAGGTTTGGGCAGTCGCCAAGCTGTGCTTGTGAGGACCCTGCCGCTGCCTTCACCCTCCCCCCAGAAGTGGCAACAAACACTCTACGGTCCATCTCCAACAACCGAAGTGTCATGAGTGAGCGGGATCAAAAATTCGGGGAGAGGGATGGGTGTGTGCCTGTATTTCAGGTGAGACCCACCGCACCATCCACACCTTCATCCCGGCCACCAAGGATTGAGGAGTCTGTCATTAAAATCGATCTGTTCAGGAACAGATACCCAGCGTGGGAGAGACATGTGTTGGACAGGAGCCTGAGGAAGGCGATTTTAGCGTTTGAATGTTCCCCTGCTCCTCCACGGCTACAGTATAAAGATGATGCCCTTATCCAGGAGCGCTTGGAATATGAAACCACATTGTAGAATGAAGCTTGAAGAAGCTCCAACGTTACAGTCCAAATTAAGGTTTGACAGTAGGGCTGTAGGAATAACTGGACTGCATACTACAAGTAGAGCAGCAAGCTGTAGTGTTCTTAGTCTGGCTATCATCATGATTATCATTTGATCCACTGTGTGCAGTCTGTCCGCAGGACACTGGTACAGCAGCATCACTTGAAAGCCTCCTAAAAAGCCCAAACCCTGACCCACACATGACAGATCAGTTACTTCAGCTGGGGAAACTCACCCACCACTCCTTGCTGCTATGAAACTCTGTCTGCACAGTACTTAAAAAGCAGTAGGAAGGCTCTGACCAGAGCTTTCAACTTTAGCCAGTAGTGCATTTTATTTTAGAAATGAATGATTGATATTTGCATAAGCAATGGCAAACAAACAAAAAACCCTTTTCAAAAATAACAAAACGGTAGCACTCAGTGTTGCTGTTATGAAAACTGTTTTCTGGGGAAAGAATAGGAGCATAGTAGTCTTCAATGCTCCCAAAAATCAACCATTCAGGTTAGAATAGGTTTGCAAAGTAGTTCTGAATTAACAAATACATTGTCATGTTTGCAAGGCTGTCAATGGAAAATAAGCTAAATTCTGATTAATTTGGTCATAAATGTTAATACTACAAGAACTGTTTGTTTTCTATAGAATTTCAAAGTCTTCTTAAATGCAATTTAAGTTCTTTACATTACTTTCAACAGAAATCCTATGCAGCTCACTTCTGGTTTTTAGGAGAAATAAGGAGCTCGAGCACGCAGTGTTGCAAATTAAATGATAATCATGATTCAGTGTTCAATTTTCAAAAAAAATTATATATATGTAAAACAGGGAAGTATAGTTTTCGTATTCTAAACTTTTTGGAGGAGCCCATTCAGATATTTCGGAAGAAACTACAAGGAAATGAACACACTGAAACTTCCCTGTTTCAGGACTGGGAATGCATGATTCAGTGTGTGAATGTATGCAGGGGTGACAAGAGACTGACATGCCATACCCTTCTAGTGCCAAACATTGTATAACTGCAAGGTTGATGTTACCTGAGAGACAGATCACAAGTGGCATGAGCCCTGCTAGATCAAGAAGCAGGAAAGACCAGTCAAGTTCTCAACATGTAGAGACAGCTCCGATTTTCCCCAACCCAAGGTGAAAGTGATGTCTTTTTAAAGGCTTTCAGCCACCTCTTAGTAAGTATATTCACTGGAGTATAACATAAACAAGTTATGTGGAAGACCCTCTTCTGCCTGTTCAAGACTTGTGTCCAGATACGTCTAAAAATTACGCTGAATCTCTTGTAACAGTGCTTTTACTGCAAGCTTTTGGGTTTTAAATACCTCCCTAAATCTAGTCAATGGTATCCTCCTTTATGTTAAAAGTATCCCCTGATGGTGCTTTCAGATGCATTAAAGGTGCAAGTCAAAATTTGATAGTATTTTTTTTAAAGCTGGTGCAGAGTGAAAAACTCATTAATTATTTCAATATTTTTGTAAAGTAAAAATATGGTATAAAAAGGTTACTTTTTATAAACCTCAAATCTTTTAATACATTTCATTCTCTTTATAGCTTAGATTTTAAAAATTGGTCCATGAATTTTATCAACTGGCTTCTGCAGGTTGATATAAACCTGGTTTTCACACATTACGGATTTGTTTTGCAGTGTAATGCCATATGAAAGCCTACATGGGTACTTTTAGAATATTCTATAAACCGTGGATCCTGCTTCAAATGTAAGTGGCTTGTAAAGACACCAAGCAATTCCATAAGAAACAATTTGCTGTAACTATTTCCATCCATTTTAGGAGAGCGAAGCAGAACTGAAGAGTTAATGTTGTAAAAGGCATTGTCAGGATGGAGAAGACCTGATGATTGGTATTGTAACCTTCACTGTCAGGTATATCCAGTGTAGTCACTGCTGTACATGCTGCTGGGTAAATTTCAGTCTTTCCTGGTATTATATTTGTACTATGAAATGGCCGAGGCTACACAGCCTATGTTTATTTGTATGCATTCAATTAGCCATTTTTAATGTTGACTTTTTTTAATTAGTGAAATGTTCAGTACCTGTTGTTCTTTGCTGGGGTGAGTTCCTCAAAACAAAACATCTGTGGAAGTGCAGGAATCTGCAAGTCAGAGGGAACTTTACACAGATCAGAAAACACCCATGCTTCAAGCGTTTCTTAAGTGTTTTCAAATTAAGCAGTGGCCAACTGCTTCTATAATAATTTTTAAAATAAAATGATTCTTTGATAGTCCAAACTTGAAACTTTCTACAGAATGATTGCCCTTTCCTCCATGAAGATATAGCTGATTATTCAGAGAAAAGCACTCACATTTTGTCAGAAAATAGACCACTGCAAGAACTGCTAAAGAAAAGTCCTTTGCCCTGTCAAATTCAGTAGAGCATCCACTCCAGAATCAAACACTAGCTCACACAAAGAAATTGTTGTTTTTCTTTACAAACAAGGCAAATGGTAGACTTTGTAACCCAAGATATGAGGGTTTCTTTGTCAAACAGATTGATGTGTTTGCTGCAGTTTTAACAAGAGAAATCTTAGCATGAGTGAGGCACAGTGGGCAGCACTCTCAAGCCCTTTGGTCAGGGCTTACAGAGTTGAAGAAACAGAATTTAAAGGGCTATGGTCTGGACTTTGCATTGCAAGATTTCTGAAGAATGTTTGGTGTGAATTTTATTTGCTCTGGTTTGGTTTTGGAAGGAAGGACACAAAGGCATTACTTATCCATGTAGTTTTAAGTATCTGGCACTTACTTACTTTACCCTTCCAGTATTTTTTTTATTATTATTAATGTTTGTAAATTCATCTCAACCAAACTACTGCAGGGTCTGAGTGCACAGTGCCATACATGGCAGTACCTGTACACATCTTGTCTTCAGAATCCAATCTGGCTGTTTGAGGAAGGGGAAGAAGCATTTTATACCAAGTCAAAATTTGCTCTCCAAAATCTTGCTTTATTATGTTCACAACGTTAGTGATACATGCACTGAGAACAGGATCGCCATTGAAATCTTAATGCTACATGGACAGTTCCTTAATTTGCTTTGCTGTAAACAGTCGCATTGAAAGCTGTACAAATTTTTTATAGAAGTTGTCAAGATTAAACATAGTCCACATTGAAATCCCATGATGGCCTTATGGATAGTTAATAATCAATATGCACTATTCTTTTTACCACAGACAGTTTTAAGATCTTTTAATGAAGTCCAATGAAGACAGCAATAGCAAAAAAATAATGCTAAAAAAAATTTAACTTCTGCTTTTGAAATAATGAAAAAATCAGGTCTTTTAAATTTCATTCCAAAATAATACAAAAATGAAACATTTCATAATTATATTCTGGTAAAGAAAAGCAGTCACATCTCTTTTTTAGAAGTAAGAGTCATGTAAGTATTGTTCTAATGAATCAAAAAAATTTGTCATCAGATTTAACAGTAAATTATCTGGTTAAAGACATGGTCCTAAAATTCTGAGAGTTGCGGATTTGTATATTACAGAAAAGACAATTTAAATAGTATTCACTACTGTAATTAGATAAAGAGAGGTTATGCATACCCATGTTCATTCAGAAAACATAAGAAAATGTAAGATTAAACCTTTTGTCTTACTTTAAAAGTAATTTGTTCTATAATAAGATAATCTTCTTTTTAAAAATGAATTCTTTGAAAATATGTGGAATACTTTTTTCATGTGGTTTTAATAACGAAAAAACTAATTTCCACTTTTGTTTATGTCAGTTTGAAAATGCTTCCTGTGCTAGAACAATGTGTGTGTGCTTGGTTTATATGGGCTTCATGGCATATAAACACTATTTTCATTGGCAAATCAACAAAATTGCTATTAATTAATTTCTATGACATTTGAGAAAATTTTCCTTCCAAAATTAAATGCTAGGCCTCAGCTACCTGATTTTGTAAACTTTTAAGCAGAGGAGGTAAATTAAAATTTTATTGGAGCTACAATTTTTAATATGTGGTGAATAGCTATGAAACCCAAATTTGTTTAAAGTCTGTGGTAGTGTCACCAATATCTCATTATCTCCCCAGAAGAGCAATTCATAAGTGGTACTAAAAGCATGAGTGCTGCTTTATTTGGAAAAGGACTCCTACTCTTGCAATATATTCATTTACTTTTTATTGGCAGGCAAATATTTGCAACTAGCCTGTTGGTTTTCTTAGAACTCAAATTAAGCCATTTTGAAGTGTTTATGATTTGATCATATGACTCCATAAGAGCCTTAAAAGTGGCACTGTATTGAGTTTTAGTTGGCTCTGCCAGTTATTCAGCTCCCAAGGCTACTGCCCTTTCTCCGCTCTGTCCCTGAAGTCGTGCAATCCGGAGTGACTGAGGTGCTGTGATTTACTCTGCACCCCCTGCACTGCCTGCACAATGCCAAGGAAAAGACTTCAGCAGATTGCTGGGGTTATACTGCTGCCTCTCTTGCTCCTGTGCATGGTAGGAAGCAGAGTAAATTGCATTTGTGCATTCATGTAAACAAGTACATTAAGGTTGAGTCTATACAAGAGGTGTGTGATGAAAATAATCACAAACACGTGTCCATGAATTTGCAAGCCCAACACTGTAATTACTAATTCTGTAGTATAACAATGCAGAGTGTGGGAAGAATTGTCTAAATACACAATAAGCCATTTAATTTTGCTAATTATAGCAATTAGACTAGCTCACATGAAGCCCATGCTCTCAGCAGAAAGCCAAATGGAGTAAGTGGCAAGCAGCCATTTATATACCAGAGACATGATGATATGAAATCCTCCCTTGATTGTTTATAGAACTATGTCTTTTCATTATGGCATTGAATCCACTCCTCTTTATTCTGATAAGACAGATAAAATGCAAAATGGGAACAGATTCTTTTAAATCTGGGAATTTAAAAAACCCACAACAGATTACTGCAGTTCACATATAGTGATTTTTTGGAATAAATTCCATCATCATTTTCAGTTGGGG